AGAAAGAAAGAAAGAAAGAAAGAAAGAAAGAAAGAAAGAAAGAAAGAAAGAAAGAAAGAAAGAAAAAGAACTGGTGCAGCAACATAAAAATAAGTTCATTAAACAGTCATTATTGTGTTCTTTGAAAGGATTTTGGGAGCAGGCCTATATCCTTACATATTCTTAGAATATGGCATCTCTCTTCCTTACTTTGAACTACAAGACTCTAGGTTTTACCTAGACTGAAAGGGTAAAATCTGAAGATGTGGACTGTCAGATTCTTTTATATACATTAAGCTAACCCATGATCAGGCTAAGTTCAGAATCGTGGGTAAAATCATGGCCCTGTTGAAGTATATGGGGGTTAGTCACTGACTTGAATGGAGTCAGGATTTCACACTGTTTCAGTGCTAATCAATTAATCTTTGTCTTCTTTAAATAAGCTGCTAACTTCATATACTAAATTATGTAACACCCTAAAATGGACTCCCATATGAGTAGCATATTAATGTTATATACTGTATTTAATTTTTTTGCATTGCTATTTATATAGTTAAACCATTCTTTTTATATTTCACTGTTTTCAATAAGTGTTTTGTATGCAAGGACTTTTATCATAATTCAAATTGCATGACTTGTCACTTATTTTCTTTCCATGCTTAGTGAGATGGCTTCTAACCATAGATGTAGTTATGTTGGTTGATCACAGAAACCCGCTCTGAGTGACAGATAACATATGCACCACTTTGAGACTTCCACATAGAAAGCTACACAAATCACCAAAATTCCATGAGGGTGTTATGATACAGCACATACTGTGCAATAAGACTTGGCAATAATTTCACAAAGAACGAAGCACAATCTTCCCCTGGCTTTCAGGTTTATGAAAACAAATCTAGCACAAGTAGTCTCTTTTTTCAAACTGCAAATTCATTTCCAAGTCTGAAGAATAATATTTACAGCACAGCTCTAATTAGCAGCTATTAGTAATGCATCATAATTTAAAGGAACGTCTTCAGGTACAATCGTCAATAATCGTTTAACAAAAAAGGATGCAAGCCTCATGCTTTGGAAGCTGTTTGTCAAAGTAAACAGTTCCCTAGTTAGGTTCCTCCTAATAAGCAGAGCGGAAGCTTTCTAAATCTAATCTGCAACTCTATGCATTTTAACGCACTAATGATCACCTCCATTCACAGTTACCTGGGCATTGGGTCTCCTTTTTCTCACATTAACTTTTGGTATGCCCACACCAATATGCTGAAGTAACAGAAAAGCAGTAATTTATAACTTCACACCATTAACACACAGTTAATTATTTATGGTCTATACTCTACCCTCAAGATCTACTCTTCTCCAATGGGCATTTTCCTGGAATCACAAGACTAAGCTCATTTTGACAAAGTAGTTTCAGAGTTCTGAGTTCTCTGTTAGCATCACATGTTTCAAGCTGGGCAAACAAACAACAAACAATGGTAAAGCGGGTGAATTAAATTAACAGAGAGCTCTACATAACCAGCACATTCTGCAAGAATTTTAATAGATCACAGAAAAGCACATTCCTTCTCACTCATCACAACATTTGCTCCTAAAACAAACCACCTCCCTTTTGTTTTTCTTTTAAAAACAAATCCAACATATATATAGTATGAAGTGCATAAAGTACACAGGACCTTATTCAAAGCCTACTGAAGTCAATGAAAGTCTTATTCATAGAAGGGCTTGGAGCAGGACCTTAATGAACAGTGGGCGGAAAGGACGTTGATATCAACAGTAGAGCCAGGGGTTCATCCATTTTCTATTTCAGAATTTGTATCCTATTAAGACTGAACATGTTGAGAGAAGTTTATTCCAGTATAACTCCACTGACTTCCCTGATTGGATCTATCCCTTGGGATAACTGATTCTGGCTCATGACAATTAATATCTCTCTCTCTTATATATATAAAAATGGACATCAAAGTGTAAGTTAATATTTATTAATTGATCATCACTCATTTAAAAGTTAATGTAAACGAGATTAGAATTGAACTCGTATTTTGTTAAAAATATGATTTTGTAGATTGTGTAACTTAAATGATGGTGTTTTCTCAAGAAAGTCAGAATAACAACCTTACAAGTTCTTGGTAAATGGTGGGGTTGTTGATTTGTGAGTTGTTACTATAAGGCAATATTCCAAAATGTTAATTATGTCGAACCAGTTTTGATTTTCAGGTTACAGATTTTAGGAAGGAAAGCAAAAGGCATTCAAAAGAAGGAACTAATGACACTCCAGCACACCCTCACCTCTTCAAAGATAAATGCGTAGGTATGATTTGGTATACATCTATTGAATAATTTCTGGCAAAGAGGGTTAAGATGTTGTTCATTAGTATATTAAGTGCAATCACAAAATTCAACTCAAAATTAATATAGTGTGTTAAAAGAAGATCAGGCATTCTATACCTATCTGTCTTTGTAGTGTACCTTAGTTTGAGGATTGCATGCACCACCCCAAACAAACTGGCAGTAATAAAGTCTAGTCTGTACAACTGTTAATAATAATAATACACAAATGAAAGCATGCTTAATACTCAGTTTGCACATTCTGCAGAGGACATAAAACACAATATATCATTTATGAAATAATACATTTTTAAGAACATTCTGAAACAGCCATTGGAGAAGTACTTGGGGGACATCTCTATTCATCTTCACTAGACTTCAGTACCACAGAGTAGTAGTATGGATTTGTTTTTAATTAAAGGGGGTTCTGAAGTACATTTTGAAAATAAATCCACATTTGAAAATAAATTAGGGTTTCCAAGAAAACCAATCGTAAAGTCATGAGATTAAGTGAGTTTTGGTGAATATGATATTATTTTAAAAGGCAGTTCAAGAAATTACTCTTAAAGTGCTGGAATGGTAATAAAAATCTAGGTTATACAATACATCATGGTTCTTTGCTTTTTATACTTTTTAATACCCTTCTTAAGGGCATTTCATCAGGATGCATGTATAAAAGAGCCTAAACTCATAGGGAAAACCTGGAAGCCTGCACCCTAGCAAACAAATGATCTGATCCTGCAGGATGCTGGCAGACATCAATGGAACATGACATCAGTGCTCAGCACCTAGCAAGATTGGCCCCCACATAATAGTAATGCATTGAATCATTTTGTTTGTCTCTTTAACAAAGGGCTCATATCAGTTGCATAAAAGGCGACGAACAACAATAGACACTTGCCCCAACCATTTTGTTCTTAGGCGACCTCTAATAACCTTTAATGAAAACAAAATCACCCAGTAATGGAGCAATTAATATATGTCATCAGTGTAATTACTATTTCTCCAAAAACTATTCAACATGTTAATTCATCAAATGAAAGCTGACTAAGGGAGTCCTTTACACTTCATCAAAAGCCTAATGCACTTATCCATTAAGCTGAAGTGCATGCAAATTATTAAACCAATAATCCAACTTTTCCTTTTCTTTCCTTTTTAAAAAGGAACTTTTACACTAATTGCAGTTTGAAAATGAAGAAAACATAGACAAAAAGCAATAGTTTTATAAATCTATTTTATTTTATCAGACAACATTTCTATTTCTTCCCCTTGTTATCATTAGAGATTATTATGTTTAAATTATAACCTTTCCTTCCAAGATAAGTTTCCCTTTCTGTTACACCTGGTAAGTACTTCAAAATTTTGTGTTTATTACATCACACATAAATTTCTCAGATGACAAATTTAGAATGATGACTATCCTGCAGGATAAAATGCACCACTGAAAACCACAGATAAGATCATCACCCATCCTTGGTTACCCCTGGGGTAAGTAAAAAAGGTGGAAATGTTTAAAAGTGATCTAAAAGCCATGGCTCTATCTGCAGTAGGATTCCACTGGTGCAGGAACTGAGGAAGACAGCTATAAGGAGGACTTCCAAGGATGACCTTGCAAGCCTTGCCATAGGTGACATCATAGGGGAGGGGTATATTGAGGGAAAGGCTGCAGAGATTACAGGCAGTCCTATAGCCTGGGGGTAGTTCCCTAGGGATAAGTTATGCAGGGAACTGAGGAGCAGTCCAGGATGAGAAGGCCATAAAGGTGGCCTAGAATCACTTTAGCTCCCACTTCCCCCTGCACGGAGAGTTCTGCATTTGCAGAATCTCACCCATATATTTAAACATAAATTGTCCTAATAATGTTAATAGCAAATTTTAATATTAATAGCTGAAAAATCTAATATCTAATTTGCTTTTCACTATTTATCCTGGTTGATTTTCCCCCTTTTCCTTTCACACATTTCTGGTCTGGTCATTTTTACATTTATTTCTTTAGTTTCTATTTAATTTGACTTGCAATTTCTTGTGCACTGTACAATGCTGCAGTGTGTGTGTTGCGGACACTGTGGGAGGAATGTTTATTGAAAAATGTTTCTAGTAAAAGTAATACAAAACTCATTGAAATATTTCTATTGGATTAGGCCACCTGACAGTTTCTCTTAAAACAGACAAGAAGATGGACTAAGATGGGGCAAAACCACGTTAAAACACACATTAAAAATCTGATTCAACGAATAATTATACACTATATAATTTTACTAAAGTGAAAAGTCCATTTAAAGTCTATGAGGCTACTTACATGAGTAAAGCTATGTAGTGTGTAAATATTTGCAGGATCAGGGTCATAATTAGCAGAGATGAGTACAAACCAAAACCTTTGATTTGAACATCTCCAAACTTTGAGAAAGTTTACATCCTGGATTAGCTCTAGAGCTAAATCTGAATTCCACATAGCTGACTATCTCTCTATAGTGGGCCAAACCAAACCCTAGCAGTCAATAATCTTTGGACAAATTCTCAATCAGATCTCAACTCTAGTAATTAGGAAATATGCAAGGGGAAATATGAAAAAAGCAAGTTCTCCTCAGTATGAAAGTTCTTCTTTAAACTAAATCTATGGTAGCTACAAAGCATAAATAAAATAAAATAAACATTTTCAGAAATAAACTCTGTTCCTGAGGTCACCTTGTAACAATCTTTCCCCGCCCCCCAAGAGAAGATACACTTCAGAATCAGCTTTAGTGCTGTTACCTCAAGCTATTCATTATTATTAATATTATTATATTATTAAAGTAACAAATTATATGCTTGACAATAATGGTGTAAGAGTGGAATGTTTGATTTTCATTTTTCAACAAGGTCCAAATCGCAGTAAAATCAGAGGGGGTCTATTGACAAAAGTGGGTTTTGGATCAACCCCCAAATCGAGATATTCACCATTGCTGTATACCACCTTAATCAGCACTTACAGTGTGCTTCTCTTATGTCTGATAATAATTCCAGAGCAACAGTGATATAAAATAGATGATTTTTCATACCTTTGGTTGAAGATCTGGATGAAGTAAAACATAACCATTAGGGTCAATTGCAAAATAGTAACCATTTGGGCACAACTGAAAGAAAAAAGAAATGATGTGCACTGTTATTAAGCTTAGTCTAATGAAAAAGATTTAGTTATGGCCTTTTAATAATATTCAGAATGTGGAAAATATACAGCTTAAGGCAAAGCTGAAGTACGTGTGTGTGTGTGTGTGTGTGGGGTGTGTTAACCAGGTATCAGTCTCACCTACCATATAAGAACGATTTTAAAAAATCTTTTATTTCTTTGGTTTTTGTTTTCAATGATGACAAAAATGTTATTAGAAATTAACTACTAAAATATCTCGCTCTACACATGGGATATAAATTATACCTGCTATCATACAAACTAATATGTGAGGTGAAGGAAAGGTCACTAACTTCATAATGAAGGTACACTGTGTACAGTGTAATAAAAAGACTACATAGACCAAACATCTGGATGACAGCACTCTCTGTGGTCTCCCCAGGGGATTTAAGATCTGCTACTTTCAATGCCAGTAGAAGACAGGTGTGTTGTGCAAGTAAGCTGCATCCTGACGACCATTTCGTGGAGCAGCACTGATACTGGCTACAGAAGAAGCAATCACTCTCTAAAGTGATCAGAGGAAAAGAGAGCATACGCTATAGGAGGTCTGGTGATCTTCTGACTCCCATCTAGCCCACGGTTAGATGGACTGTGAAAGTGTGTAAAAAGAATTCACGCATAAAGGGAAATAGCTAATACTAACGAAAGAGGGCAACTTACTGTAAACCGTGGTGTCAGTTTTTTTATGTCCTCCAAAGAGACATCAACTCCCATAACTCCAAGAATCAGCTGGTTCTGGGGTAAGATTACAAAAAGTTAGTGGCAGTTTTAACATGTTGACAATACACATGCAAACATGTAGCAGCTGAATCTTAATTTTGCTTTCTTTTTTTTTTTCGTGACAGGTACTAGTTAAAACTTTTTTGGGGTGATACTAGGGTGACCAGATCACCAAAGACAAGAG